TGAAATCAAATAATGCTTCATTGTTTGACGTGGCCATACCATTTTCAATGTTCTCTGGTGAAAAATCCAGCAAACTGGTATTCCCATCGAGGCACTGGAGCACTTGCCTCATGCTAGGCCTGGCTGATGGCTGTGGCAGTGAACATAGCAGTCCCAGTTTCAGAACCAACTCCATTTCCTCCACTGGAAAATTCCCTTCCAATCTTGGATCACAAGCATCAGAAATAGCTCCTCTTTTCCAGCATTTTGTGATCCACTCAACCAAGAATACTTCGTCAGGCTGTCTCTGTTGCTCTATAGGCCTCCTTCCACAGGCTACTTCAAGCAGAAATGCCCCGAAAGCAAACACATCAGTGCTAGTACTTGCCATCCCGGTTCTGGTAATCTCTGGAGCAAGATATCCTATAGTTCCCACCAGTTTAGTAGTTTCTGGGTTCGCACCATGATCATGTAGTCTTGCTAGTCCAAAATCTCCTAATCTTCCATTTAGATTTGAATCCAACAGAACATTGCTAGCTTTGACATCTCTGTGTAGAACAACCTGCTCCCATTCTTCATGAAGGTAAAGCAAGGCAGATGCAACATCTCTGAGGATTCGATGCCTTTGAGACCAAGTAAGGAGTGGTCTTCCATTGCTGAACAAGAACGTGTCAAGACTTCCATTAGGCATGTAATCATATACCAGGAGAAGTTCTCCTTTTCGCCTGCAATATCCGAGGAGCTGCACCAAATTCCTGTGCCTTAGTCTTCCCATGCTTACAATCTCTGCGATAAATTGCTTCATCCCTTGTTTTGAATCATGGGAGATCCTTTTTACCGCAATCTGTGCAGTGGAAGAAGAAAGTGTTCCTCTATATACCTTTCCAAATCCTCCAGATCCCAGAAGTTGTTTGTCGCTGAAGCCCCTTGTTGCTTGGTAGAGAGTCTTGTATGAGAACCTTTGAGGTCCATATTCCCTCTCCCATTCTTCAAGTACTTCTCCGTATTTCCTTCTCCAAAAAAGATAACCAGCTCCATAGATTGCTACAAGTGCAACAACTGCTACTAACAAAATAATAACCAATCCTTCTAGCTTCTTACTTTTTCCATCATGCGTGGGGAGCTGTGGAAGCTCTGAAATTGGGAGGCTTTGTGCTTTTCCATTCTTGGAAAAACTCCATCCAAGAATATAGTGGTCACTCGGAGCTTCACCAGTAGCTGCTGAGAAACCAACATACATTTCATCCAAGAAAATTTGAGACAGATCAATGACAATTGACAGGAGAGGCCAATCGGGCTTTAGGCTTGTGATTGGTGCTAGAGTTACATTCAGCAACCCTTCTTCTTCATCATAGTCTATCCAAACCTGCATGGGATCTCCACTTATGAGGTTCAAGGTTTTGTTCCTTCCTTCTTCCTTGGCAAAATATGTTGCTGGAGCTGATACATTTGATTTCAGGTCATTCACATCGATCCCCACATGATTTTCCTTTATATTGTCAAAATCAGGGTTATAAATCGTATCAAACTCAACTGCTAATACATGATTTGTTGGACGGCCATTGGTTGAAGTATTGAAAAGTCCAAGGTATTGGCTTGCAA